GAATTAGAATAAAACTGAGTATAAGTAATAATTCATACAATTTCATAAAATATATGATCCATTCTGCATTCTTTCATTCAAATAAACTGAATTTTACTCAATAGAATATTTAAATAAATTTAAAATATTTATGTAAATAATTAAAAATTCAAAATTGATAACTATCTTTAATCTTTTATTATATTGATTCCAAATTAAAAGATTGTAATATATGGAATTCTAATAAATAGTCAATTTTTGTTATTTCCTCATCTTTTTATTCTTATTGATGTAAAATAGTACAAATAAAAGAACATCTATGWTTTATTGTAGTTAGTTAATACAATAAAAAATGAATCTAATCTGTATAAATTATGAATATCATTTTCTTGATGATAGTGATTTCAATCCTGTAAATAAATTAGTGAATTCGAAATTTATTAATTATTCTTCTTAACTCTTTCTTTATTCAAATTTGAATTCTTTTTTTTTTTTTTTTTTTGCTAATATTATTATTATTATTTTTTTATATTGGAAGATAGTAACTATTTACTTGTATAACTTTAACATCAGAGTGTCTTTCTATCATTTTTTTTGCTTCTGATTTAGTAATTTTTTTTAAAGATTAAAAAGTATATTGTTTTTTTTCTAATAGAGAAATATTTTATTTATGTTAATATAGGTTTATGAAATTTATCCATAAGACTCTCTTTTCTTTTTTTATTATTTTAGTTTTTTTTTTTTGGATTATTTTTTTTTATAGTTTTTTATTATAGAATACATATCGTTTATATAACATTGTTTATAGATTTTTATATGATAAAATATAGTATTTGATATTGAAATATTTTATGTATTATATTAATAATATTCTCTGTATTCTAAATTCAAAAAAAAAAAGATTATTGTATATTAATTAAAAATTAGATTATTGTATATTAATTAGAAGATATATGAATTAGATTGATTAATTAATTATATTTATTGTTATGTTTTTATGTATTAATCTTTTATTACTTTTTTTATGTAATTTTTATTTACTTAGCAAATAAATACCAATTTGATCGAGTTTGTTATTTTCGCTCAATAGAATATAGGAAGATTTAGTTGACCAAGGTGTTTGTAGAATAATTTTGACAAGCAATACAAATAAGCTTATACAAGCAAAAGCAAAGATTTTACTTTGTTTAGTCAAATATAAACTAAATGTAGGTGATTTAGGTAAACTTATTAACATAATGGCAAATCATAGCGCACTCAGAGGTAAGGTATTACCTACAAAAATAAATGTATCCATGCTAGAGATTACCGTATCTCCTATTGTAATTCCACGAGGGTATAATATATATCTTTTTTCTCCATCTTCGTAATTTACTAAACATATATGGGAATTTCTATTAGGATCATATTCGATGGAATTGAATCACCTACTTTTAAAGTAAAAATCATTATTTTTTTTTTTTTTTTCTTACCAATATTATTTTTTATTTTTTTATTATTGGAAAATAGTAACTCTTTACATGTATAACTTTGACTTGAAAGTGCCTTTCTATCATTTTTTTTGCTTCATCGTACAATATGTCATCTCTTATGAGATTAAAATTCAACGCTATTAAATTAGTGATAGATTTTGGTATATCTGAAAATATAGCTTATTTAATATCAATCTTCTTACCTATAGTTTTACTACTAGTAATAATGATTTTAGGCGTTAGATTTATAGACCTAGATGACAATCACCTATTGAATTAATAAACAATTCATAAATTCACTCCGCTATTACAAATAGTTTTGATAAATAAAAATTTTTAATTTTTAGGATTTTCTTTATATCATCTCTATATCTTTATAAAATATGTATAAACCGAAAAAAATAAAAATAAAAATTGATGATGATAGATTGTTTCGTTGGAGTTGCACCGACTTATCAAGAGGCTGAACCCTCGACAATCTGTGGAATCCCCGTATTTGATGGTTTGGGTTATGAACCTTTTTACCCATGTTGAAGGCAGACTGTCCCCAAGCGGGACATAGCAGCGGGCAGCAACCCTGTGGAGCATCAGGCAACACAGTAGAGGCAGCCCAACCGCTTATCACCAAAGACGACAGTAAGGAACGACAGGGCAAGCGGACGAGCAGTTCGGCAACCTTGCGGTGAAGCACAAGGCAACATCAACAAGGCGACGACACTACAAAGCACGCAAGCAAGTAAAGGACGCGGAAGGCCAACAGGGCAAGCAGACGAGCAGCTCGGCCACCGTGCAATGAAGCACAAGGCACCACCAACAAGGCAACCAAACTACAAGGCATGCACGCAAAGGACACTGAAGGCCAGCAGAGCACACAGACAAGCAGCTCAACGATCATGCAGCGAAGCGCGAGGAACCGCCACAAGGCTACCAAACCACAGGGCACGCGAGCAAAAGACACGGGAGGCACGACCCGCGGGTAGGCGGCAAGGCAGCAGAGCAGCGAGGACGACCTGCAAAGCAAGTGGCACGGGCAGCAAAACCGCGGCAGAGCACAGACAAGACAGTCTACACATCCAACACACAGCAAAACAACACATCACCTACTCACATCACGATAGAACCCCGCAGATTGTTGGTTCCCACCACCCGCTGAGCCAGGGGGACACTCCGACGACCATCCGTCATCACCTACAGGCAACAGAGACATCCCGAACTGAGCGGCCCCCATAAGAGTGTGCAGTAGGCACTCCAAACGAGGAACCACTGACTGTTTGGCAATACTTAAGGGTGCTCAGTTGGGCATACAAAACATACTTAGAAAAAGTCAGGGGGAGGACAGACAATAGAAGAAAGACCAACAGACATAAAACTGATCGTGTGTGTGTGTGTGTGTGTGTGTGTGTGTGTGTGTGTGTGTGTGTGTGTTGTGTGTGTGTGTGTGTGTGTGTGTGT